GAGTAAATCCTTAACACATATTAGACATGGAAACTGAAAAATCGATTTAAGATGGCATCGGATCATAGTTTATGATCTCAAACGTCAAGAAATACTAAAAACTCAAAACCTTTTCTTTAGTTTTCCGTTTCTTTTATTGAAAACCAGGTTTTGAGAAATATTTCAAACATTTTTAATATAGAATCAAGTTTTATCACTATTTCATATTAAAAGATCTCAACTATTTATTTGTCCACTAATTTAATACAGTTTTGAAATTAATACAAAATTTATCTGTCATTGAGTTTCAATATTCTATTGGAAAAACAAATTAATTAGAGTTGCCGTGAATTGGCATAAAATTAGCTTAAGTTTAAAAACAAAAAAATTATATCAAATATTAATGAAGATTCATTTATTAATTAAAATATTATTAATAATATAATAAACTTTTAATAAAAAATAATTGTAAACCAATACACTACTATCATTATTTTAGTTTATATTTATTTTGTAAATTGATACCTTTTAATATCACTGATGTAATTTTACTATCATTAAGTTACTGTAATTAATTATCAATATTGAAGTACTGTATCATAAATAACTTAGTTTATAATAGTTATTTTATCATACTAGATTTTAGTGTATAAAACTTTGTTTATATAGTTGCACAATAATTGCATCGAAAGAATTTGTCGCGACTTTTAAACATTTAATTAAAAAATATTGTAAATTAGTTAAATTCAATTGAAACCATTATAATATATAAACAAATTAAACTGTATTTTAGAAACCATTAAATATTGACCTAGATATATTAAATAGAATTCTAAAAACAATATAATATTTTTCTATTGTACTATGAAATACAGTATAATTTTACAAGTTATTTGTCAATTAATAACAATCTCATACCTGTCGTATACTCTGTATTATTGTAGGTTTTTTATGGCTATTTATGGTGATTATAAATAAGAGAATTTTATAAGTTACTAAACATTACTTCATTGTTGTGAAAGTAATCCATACAGAAATTCTTATTATATAGACTTCTATTAAATTGTCTGATTAGACCTAGCAACACAGTGTTTATAATAATTAATTGTATTAAATAATTAACTTAATTCAAATGAAATGTCATTTCATTTGGTATGACACCAAGTAAATGACAATTGAGTTGTTAAATGATACAAACAGTACTTCTCGATAAGTGCTTACATTTTGTGTTTTGTCTCAAAAAGACTTAAAATTGAATTGAATTCTTAAACACAGATAAAACAAAATTCTTACTTCAAACAATAATACTTATGGGTGTACTTTGTCATTAAATTAAATGTAATAAAATAAATGTAATGAAAATATTATGTGAGAAATTTCAATTTGGGCTAATATTTCAAAGTTATAATATTAGTTTTTACATTGAATAGTTCTTACTTATGTCAAATTTTAAAACCCAGACCAGTTTGTATTAGACTAGTCCCTGTAGACTCTAGACAATAAAATTTATGTTTTAAAACTTACACAGATATCATGAGCTTTTATAACAATTGTAATGATTATTGTTTTTAGTTAAATGCATTCATTCACTAAATTACAATAAAATACTTCATTGGTGCATACTTAATTGTATCGTGCAGTTTTTACCATATCATGGCTAAATTTTTCTTAATAAGTTTTAAATATTTTATAAATAAGTTTTTCATAAAGGTTCATTTTACTGTACATGTTAATAAATAAAATCTTTACTGTACTACATATACGTATAGCCCGTCCCCTCATGATCCTTAAAAATAAAGTTGGAAATGAGTATCCAATTATAATTATACTTAATCTGCATTTATTTCTATAGATATTTTATAATATAATATGCCGCATGATTTTAACACTTTATGTAAGATATAAAAACTTTTTACAAACAATATAACCAGTATTATTAACCAATATGTTTATTTAAGAATTGCTTTACAGTGTGTACACTATACAGTATCATTTAATGTTTTTTCTATACTCTATCATTGAAATAGGCGTCAATTGCAATCCGGATGCCAAACGACTATACGATGATCTGATCTCGCGGTACAACAAACTGGTCCGTCCCGTCATCAATGGTTCGCTTGTTTTGGCATTTATTCAATTGATTTAGTGTTTGATTATACCATACATTTGCTTAGTATCGGAACCGCTCACTGTTCACATCAAACTCAAACTCTCACAACTCATTGAAGTCGTAAGTCCTTTCACTTTCTAAATGCTATATACTATAGTATAGTAACTATACAATTTATAATATAAATCAAAGGTCTAGAAAATGAATTGTTCAGGCTATTAAGAGTTACCAACCAATTTTTAAAGTTATACAACAATAATCTTATTATTATCTTTGTGATATTTAATATAATATAAAAATTTATGACTGAAAAGTAGTGACTATTAAACAATAATACTTGCGGTGAATTAAATAAATAAAAAAATAATTTACATAAATTTTAATTAATCTCTTTTTAAAAATATTTGACTTTTATAAATTTATATTTAATACAATGTTTGACATAATTTCGATGATCCAGAAAATAATGATTCTCTAAAATATGAAACAAAAATTCAAAATTGTTTTTGTGATGAGAAAGAATTAAAAATATTTGACTTTTATAAATTTATATTTAATACAATGTTTGACATAATTTCGATGATCCAGAAAATAATGATTCTCTAAAATATGAAACAAAAATTCAAAATTGTTTTTGTGATGAGAAAGAGTGGGTTTAGAAGAAAATATTGAGTGAATCAAAGTTTTTGTCAATATTTATATCAATATTTTCTTAAACAGTTGGTGTACTTCCGAGTCTTCGGGCTATCAGTGCTTTACTCACAAGACTTTTGTCAGTCTATAGACTATAGTTTAGACTGAAATGATTATCAATTTTTTTTATATCTAGCTAAATTAAGGTCAGCTCAAAAGTATAAGTGAAAAACAAGCCGAGGCCTGTATTATAGAATCAATTTTAAACCCCTGATTATATTCATGCTTATATTTTATGCAAAATTGAAGATTTAGATAAAACAAATGAGCCATGCACTGTATTTTATTATAAATAAAATATTTCTCATAAATATCTTATATTTTGAGTGAATTGTAATACACTTGCAATGCTCAATCCATTGAAAGATTTTAAAATATTTTTTTGCCACTTTTTATCTTATAAAAGTATATGAAAGTCTAAACCTCATTGTTTGTCTCATATTGACTCGGGACAACTTTTCGATACCTATAAAAAATTATTTTAAGTTAATTTCCAATTAAATATGCGATATAAATAAAATCTCATATTAATCTATAAGATCCTCGTTTAAATAAAATACAAGTAAATAATGACTCGATGAAAAAAGTTGATAAAGTGATTCAGCAAATTGTAGTCAATTTACTCATGATATTTATAAATTGATGGCATTTTAGTTGCCACGTTAATAGAGAGGCAAATACTTATAAACTTATTTAGTAGATGTTTTGACATCATTTTAAGCCAATGTCTACTACAAAGTGTCCCATTTTATGAATGTCTTAAATATCTTTTGAAAGCAGAATTCACTTACTTTTGGTACTATTTTGCTGTCATTTTCACACTTTTTTGTGATTCATATTCATTTTTAGCATTTCTTTTGATCCATTTTTACAATTAAACCAAAAGATTAAAATATTTAATGTATTTCTAAATATGAACGTCTTAAATATATCGGTCGTAAATTGAATTGTATTTTTTATGGCAGTTATGTTTTATTTATAGTTATAATGCATTTATTGATAAACACTAGAATACATTGAAAAAAATGTAGAATTTGTATTCCGGAGATAACTTATCTCTAATGTTAAGTATTATATAATAGAGTGAAAGAAATTTTGTTTTGAAATTCTAATTCAGAGCTAATGTTAAAAATGTGTGTAATTCGAGCCCTAGTATACGTGTTTTGGTTTTATTATTAGATGCCATGTAATTTACAAAAAGACTAATAAATTACAATTTTTATTTGTTTCAAACAAAATGGGCAATTACAGTATTTGGTAGAAAATTGTAAAATATCAAAATATATTTTTATTTTTATGTAGACCTTAATTAAGTCTTCTAATCATTTATATTATACAGTATTGCCCAGTATATTACCCAGTATATTATGGAATATAATAAATAAAAATTGTGCAAATTTTATGACACCCTCACATCATTATCTTTGTGTTGAAAACTTTTCTTTTTCATTTGAATCGCGTTTTATTTGAGAAGAAAATCCCAATGACTTGAATGCTTGTTATTAATTAGTTCCCAAAAGTAGTGATATATCATTGGCATCGAGTTCTTAGTCCAGTTGTTTGGGACTAAAAAGACATGAAATTCTACTCTTATATTGCCATCAATTGCAGGCATTACTCTCTCACCCAATGTTTCAATCGATGGAATATAAAGAATTACTGAATTATTCTTCACGAGACCACAAATGGTCAATGAAAGGGAAGTGATAAATAACGGTTACAAATAAAGGTCAGCCAAACCCCAACCCAATCGTTAGGTTATTCAATATTTCTTATAAAGTTTGATTCAAATGAAAAAGAAAAGTTTTCAACACAAAGATAATGATGTGAGGGTGTCATAAAATTTGCACAATTTTTATTTATTATATTCCATAATATACTGGGTAATATACTGGGCAATACTGTATAATATTCTTCACGAGACCACAAATGGTCAATGAAAGGGAAGTGATAAATAACGGTTACAAATAAAGGTCAGCCAAACCCCAACCCAATCGTTAGGTTATTCAATATTTCTTATAAAGTTTGATTGAAATGATTGATAGCATTGCAAATCGTGTTCATGTGTTCATTGATCTCTTGTGACAATTCTATCGTTACATCGAATTAGGGGTTCAAATGGATTTCAAACATATGCTTCAAATTTATTGCTTTTTCCTGATTTTTTTTAATACTTGAAGTATTTTTCTAAAAGAATTTTGTATTCATTTATTTATTTATCACATAAAACTAGATAAGCTTAAAATAAACAATTTCTTTAAATATTTATAACTATAGCGTTGTGTCAAGAAATTTCGATCAATTTATTTGATTTAAAATCATTAAGTTTTTAAATAAGACTCAATTTACTAAAAATGATGTACTGTTAAATCAATTAATCTTAATTTCATTATAAAAATAAAATTGTTATAATTTATACTTTAATCACTAGCAGTAAGTTTGCTATACTGTACATTACTTGTAATATATCGAGTATACTGTAATGTATTGTTTGTATTGACACAATTCGATACAAATATTCACAACTGTTGTTTGAATGGTTTCTATAAATACAGTAACTGTACAATCCCTGTTGCACTATCCCTGGTAATAAATAAATGTTTAAAATCAAATGTTTAAAATAAAATGTTACAAATTATTTAATCAAAGCAGTTTAATCAAATTCAAGATTTTGTTGTTCATAATCAACAAAACTATATTAAATTTGTTGTACAGTAATTTGAATTAAATTATCATATAATGTAGTATTAAAGCATTTGTTGGGAATGTATTGTTGATTTTAAAATACTTTTTTTACACAAAAGACTTAAAGAAATCAATAAACTTTGAAATCGCAAATTTGAATAATACTGAGTGCAGGGAAACACAATTTATTACGAATTTATTATTTATTTATTTGTGATTTATTAGTCAATGAAAATGACATTTGAATATAATTGTGATATAAAGTCATTCAATCGATGCATTCATGCGTTTAAATGATAATTTTTAGGATGAAATTCACATCCATAATAATAATGGAAAGTAATTAAGTTTTTATCAATACTTAATTAGTTTCACTCTTTATTCTTTGTTTTATTGTGTAAAAAGTATATTATAATTATAAAACTTATGTGTAATCACTATAATTCCCAATTTGTTTTACTTTCAATTTTTTACACTACTGTTATTTAATAAACTACATCTCATGTTAATTAAATTAAATATTACATTTTATAACTTACAATATAACTTATTAGGAAATAAGCTTAAGTGTAGGAATATACTGAAAAAGAGACGAAAATATATTTATTTGTAGTAATTGTAATATACTATAAGAGATGATAATAGAGTGCCATTAGTATTGTCGTACAGCAGGGAATCCACAGCAGCCCTACATTACAATAATCCTCATCTCTGTCTATGTTTGGACCCATAATTCCCTGACTTTATTGCTATTATTTTTTTAACAATTAAACCAATTCTATATACTGGTATGTTTTATTTATTTGCAATATAAATCAAATTATTAGCAGATTAGACAACTAATATATTGTTAGAAAAAATAACAATTACCAAAATAATAAAAAGTTAACAAAATACAAAATTTTGATAACATAATATGAATGAGTACTTCAATGCAATTTGCAAATTAATGTTAAGCACTAAATATTTCACTTGTTTTCAAATTGTTTAATTGACTAAATTGTAAGTTTTAGCATTAATGCAATTAATGAAT